TAGAAAAATACTCAATAATGTATGGTCCATATTCAACTCGGGTATTGTGAAGCTCACATTTAAAATGAATCTTGACTACACAATGTGCACGTGCCTGGTCCCCGCGCAGTGGAGCAAGGATCCTCTAGAGCTTTAAATCTCAACCACACAATACATTGTCATTAAATCTCAACCATACAATGCACCACTCTAGGAAACTTTAAGAAAAAAAGAAAAAAAAACTCTAGAGGATCTTTGGTGCTTGCAGTGTGTCAACATATTGTCCACTTTGGGGTTGGGTAGCTAAGAGCTTGCCCCCTCACAATTTTGTTCCTCCCCCTGAAAGAGGGGAAAAGGCCTGTTGTTGACAGATGGAGGGAGCCAGTATGCTTATAAGGTAGACGAGGAGTCACTCCCGAGTTGATGTGGGATAGACCCAACACAATGAATTTTCTCGGTATATTTTAGCGTTGCTTAATCATGTTTCAAAGTCACTAATTAGATGAAAACTAATCAAACCAACCAAGAAAGGGCACCTACACTCTAATCACGCTGTTCATATTGTTGCAAGTAATGTGAAACCAGGTACATGGATTAACCAGTGTTGGGTCCCAACTCTGGAGGACATTGTTTGGATCTGCCAAATTAATCTTCCAAGCATTCAGAGCATCCCCTGTTCAGTTCAATAAATAAAAAAAATCCATATAAACAATAAAATATAGAGACGGTGTTTGAAGCTTGAATTTGTGAAAGGAAAATATTTGGTTATGTGGCCAAACAATTCATCGTAATTTTCCTAACATGAACACAAGTTTAACTACGAAAATTGAAATTTTCCTTAACACTAATTGGTTTTAGATGAGTTGGTGAAAATGGAGCCTCAAGCCCTTGTCCCATTTTCGAGTCAAAAAGGGTGATTTTTTAAGCAGATTGTTTATGTTAAGGGAATAAACAATCCACTCTTCAGTTTTTTTGTTTTCCTTTCCCCCCTTCTTTCCCACCCAAATCCTCCATAAGAAAAGACATTAAAAGATCTAACTATGGTTGATTGAGTAAAATATTAGGAAAGAGAAAAAATAAATGAAAGAAGTCAATTCTCATACCTTCTGAATTGCATTCAACTGTGACAAGAAGAAGAGCGAAGAAAAGGAAAGCCATAGAGTGAGAGTTCATTTGTGCAGAATTAGTTGAGTTGAAGCCTAAACAGACGAAGGATGAAGATCAAAGTAATATATCTCTCAATTTGCTTTGAATTGAATGTATGCAGTTTGGTAATAATTATCACTTTCTCCTGTAAATGGGTCAACTCTTTCTAAGTTGAATTGGTGTTTTGCATAGGACTGAGAGGTTAATTAATCTAAATACTAATAATTATTTTTGTCAATAAAAAAATGATAATTATATAAAAGATGATATTTGTTTAAAATATGAATTGTTCTCTATAGTTTTAGAAATTACACTCCGCCCTTCCAATTTATAATCATATAATAAATGAGTCATTTTATTAATAAATCATTAAATCAATTAATAATTTTAATAATGTCTAAAATATATTTTAATTAATTATTTAAGTAATTTTTAGTTAATTATATTAAATAAAAAATTCTAATAAGTGAATATATGTAATTTTTATAATTATGAGAAATAATTTATATTTTAAAAAGTATATTTGTAATTTACTTTTATACAGATGACTCAGCATAAGGTTCATCGCCATTACTTCTAAGAGACTTTGAAAAGTCAAGATAGTTGCCCAAATTGAACATTGAAAACCGTCCATTATTATTTTTTTATTTTTCATCTCTGTTTTAGAGTGACCCATCTATTATTTTAGATCCCTACTTATAAATTTTAAAATTCTTTAAAAAAAAAATTCTCTCAAATAATATCAAAATTATTTTTGTAAAAACATTCTACTCATTCAATTGAATGCACACCCTTCACACTCCAAAAAAAAAAAAAAAAAAGTAGAATGCATTTATAAATTTCAAATATAATTATACAATATGACTCTGGAAGCAGATATGTACAGGCAACAAATTTGCATTTCTACGAAAAAAAGGAAAGTTTCAGACGCAATGGCATATTAGCCACTAAATTAATAACACAAAGGAGAAGATTAGCTCCTAAGTTGCAAAATGACTGTGGAACAAGAAATCAGTAAACTAGACACAGGTGCGTTGCATTCACTTAGCAGCCACATCCAACCTAACTGACATAATATGATCGTGAGATCACTAGCTTCAAATAAATACAAATGTACAATAACCTTTTGTTGAATTTGATGTTCAAGCCAATCAAAAGATTGTAAGACTAACCCATCAAAGAGAAGCTTATCTCCTACAAATTTGAGACAACTGCTCAAAAACTTGATCTAGAAATTCAGGTAAAGAAGCCTTGCCATTCTTCTTTTAGCAGCCACAACCCGCCTAAACGAAATTACCCACTTTATCGCAGCCCGAATCATACACCACCTCGCTTTAGGTTTTCCATTCCTCGAATCACAGATGCCAAAATTAGAAGAAACATTTCCAACTGTTTCATTACTTGAAGCCAAGAACAATCCATTCCCTTGCCAAGTCGTTGGTTCTGACGGACAATTGTCATCAGAAGTTAGGTGACCAATCTGCAAGACTGGCCCCGAAGATCCACTTGGAGCCCAACTGTTTCCGCCACCATAGGGTCCAGAGTAAGAATTTGTAGCCATCAAACTGTTCCTTAATGTTGGAGTGAAAACTTGCAGAGGTTGATATTGTTGTACCACAGAAACTTCTTGTTGATTACCATCTTCTACATTGTAAATATATGGTGGTGAAGTTGCCATATGATTGCAAGCCAGCGGCATCTCAAGCAGATCTGAAAAAGAAATTGGTGTCGAGTGTTAACTTGATATACATTGTTAGGCCCATTTCATAACAACTTAAAAGTTTTGAGACGATTGGTGATCTAACATGGTATTAGAGCTCTATGCCGTGTTATCTCTGTGATTGTGCACCTTGTTCTCTAAATATGTTCCTCTCTCCACATGCGAAATGGGATTGCACATGAGGGGGAGTGTTAGTTTGGTATACATTGATGGACCTATTTCCTCACATTTGGGACAATTGATGATCCAACATTTAGTACTTTGAAAGATACAGTCATAAATTGGTAAATGAAAATCATGAATTCGAATCACTAATCACAGAGAATATAAACAACAGGGGCCTTTTTGTGACAATATTGAACATCAGAACTTAGGCAGATAAATACTTAGATCTGTCCCATTCTTTCACAGTTCATTGATGATTAAAGTTTTTTAAGGATGTTTGACTATCGGTGATATTAACTGCCTAGCTAAAGTTGGGGGATGTGCAGACTTTTAAGGATGTGCAGACTTTCAAGTTACTTTAGATGTCTGCTTTCTAGTACAAAAATACCCACAGAGATTTTGTGATATTTATTGGGAAAATAGGAATGAATTGTGCATTGTACACCCAAGAAAGAAATTCCCTTTTGTGAACTACCTTTTAATAAATCTAGACCGAGAAAAACAGAGGAAAAAAGGCAAAGATGATTGTTGCATACCTTGTTGCACCCCTGAGAAGTTGACATCCTGCAGACTTGAACTTGGACTGCTGTACGGGTCAGCTAGAAGGCCTGATGGTAACATTGCAGGTCCAAATGTTGATGTATCAACAAATGGAACCAAGTCATTCAAATTTTTATAAGCAAATGTCTTCAAATTTTCCACCAACCCCTGCTAATAAAATAGGGAAGTTAATCACATTTGAATCACATCACAAGGCAACACCTCAGGACCATAATGCAGGATATATATGATGGTGGTGATCGTAATAGAAAAAAAATTGGAATTCACTTATCATAAAACCCATTAACCAAATCAAACCAAGCCTTAAGTCCCATTATAAAACCCATAAATGAAGAAAAATTGACCCTAATGAACCAGCTAAGAATCACGGACGCTTCTAAGAAGGTGGCGTGCCAAGTCAGACACCAGTATAACACAGCACTCATCAAACACACGTCCAAACATGTCCTATTATTTTTAAAAAATTCTAGACTTGAAAACACTTGTTATTGCTTATACACACAAAAGTAACAAATCATAAGTTTGAATAAAATGACTTGGAAAGGAAAACAATGTAAATTAATATGTATTCTCCTCCTCCAGACTTTAGAAATTAGTGTTACAACTTACATTACATTTTGTTATTATCTTTAAATATAAAATAAGGAACACAGTATGCTGCCACGAATCGCTTCATTTTTTTTTTATTTTTTTTTTTGAACAGGATGAATCACTTCATGTTGCGAGCGAGAGTTTCATTGGTCAAAATGCAATTGCACTAACAAGGAGTCCTGAAATTTTCTGATGTCGCCAAACCCATGTCTAGGTGACATTTGATACAATTTAGAGAGATTCAAAACTAAGGTAAGAGGTTTGGAAAAAAAATTAATTGAAAACAAAGGTGAGATTAAGTATGAAAACAAAAATTGTAAATTAGTAAGAATCCTAATCGCTCTTCCCTCTTGCTGCAGAAGCATTTTGAGGTATGCTTTACATATGCATGCACAGTTCAACCAACCAGAACAACGGTAACTTTAATAGCAAAAGAGTACATTTTGGAATAAACTGCCGTTAAGTTGTGATTCCAAAATATATCAGGCTAGAAATACGCACCATCTGAAATGCATCAAGCTTATCCAGAGGCTGGTAAGTTTGGCCATCAAAGGTCACTGCTACAACCTTGAAGATGGAGTTGAACACAAGCCCAACCCCTTCTGCATCCCTATAGTATATGTAGAGCTTATCATCCAGAACACAAGCCATAGCATGTACTATGATTGTCTCCCACGTCTTGTTTGAGATCCCACCACCAAGTGACTACAGTTTCCACGGAAAGGGATTAGATGGACTCCTCAACAAACCAGTATTAAATATACTACTTCAGTTAAATGATTTGAAATATCAAAGGGGGGAAAGAAAAGGAAAAAGAATAGAGAATGATTATCTTACATTACGTAGTGAAGATTGGTCAACATGATACAACCGCAGAAATTCCTTGACTGTAGTTATTCCCTTTAGAGCTAACCTTCTATGGAACGCACCATCTTTTGCTATCCTCTCCAAACGCCATATTTCATCGCCCAAGTATGGAGGATGATGCTTTTTATATGCTGAATGAAAAAATCACCTCTCAGTCTTGGAATTATAATTATGGTTTTCAGCAATTACATATTTGATGGATTTATTAAAACATTGAGCTTCAATAGGATCAAGGGGGATGAGAGGAGATGATTAGCAATTCAACAGGAGTATTCCCAAGATTCGAATATCTTGAATATAATGGTTCATTGACAACCTCAAAATTAACGGGTAACAAGTATAAATAAATGAAGTAGATATCTCTATGTAAGTGTGCGTGCACTACATAAGTGCAGAGGAACTCAAGTTGAGTGATTACGTCCTATATATTTATTTATTGCGACAAAAAGAACATGAAGTGAAGAAAACACGACTAGCAGTTTCTCAACTCAAGTGTCCTTTAACTTTAAGTATGCACATGCATTGCAAGTAAAGGGTCAAATTTTATTAGCTAATATATCCAATTTTTCCAATCTGATAGCTCACAAAGATAAGATCGTGGCAAAAGTTGATGTTATCTAGCATTAAAGTGACACAAGTTTATGAAAGTATCAGGATCATTTAGAACAATCATTTTATGTTGAATTCCAAAGAGTTTTAGGATAGGAAACGGAAGGCACGTTAGCATTTTCATCTATGTCTGATCATAATTGTTCCATCACTAATTATCCACAAGCCAAAATTTTTGAGTTATTCATGAAAATAGAGAGGCAAAGTGAAAGGACTTACACTCTCCACGATGATCTTTTACTACAAAGGCTTCACTTCTTGCTTCTCGAATTCTTACTTCAGTGGAAATGCTTTGAACAGGTCTTGCTCCTAATCTAAACCTTCGACTTCTTATCCAGCTTGAATTATCTGTAAAGTTGACATCACCAATATAACCAACTCCACCTCTCAATGAAATTACCAATTCCCCAGTCACCAGTGGCCTTTTGCCTTCTCTTTCACGCACAACATTTGCATTAAACTCCTTCTCAGTCCAATCCTCTTGATCGTCAGCTCCAAAATCACCATCAAGCACGACAATTTCAATCTTAATTGAAGAGAAGGGGCCAGATGTTATAATCTTCTTGGAAATTGCATCAAGTATGACTATTTTAACTGGTTTACGATCCTGAGATTCTATTCTGCTGCTTGTGAAGATGGTAGAGGGCAACTTATCGTCAAAATGCAATTGCCAAGCCCTTTCAGGCCTTTCTTGAGATGATTCAAATAGATCGAGTGATGATCTGCAGAAAGGTCAAACGTAATTTCAGAATAAATTATCTTCTAATTTAAAAAAAAAAAAAAAAAATTGAGAAAAGCTTCAAACAGTGGCTTTTGGCTTAGAGGTTGAACATTAAGTTGAAATCTTAGCAAGAATCACAGACCAACAAAACCAATTTTCATTTGGTGGTAGCACTAAAATGCCAAAGTTATATATAGAGATATTATCGAGTTAATCAATAATTTTTCTTTTTTTGTTATTAATTTGATTTTTTGTATGATGGTCATCATGATTTAAAAAGCGATTGTATGCCTTAATAAAAAATGATAACAAAATTATATCAACATGCACATACACAACAAAACGAACTATAGAGAGGGGTACAGAAAGAAATTACAGAGAAGATATAGACATAACACACAAGAGAGGGGTACAGAAAGAAATTACAAAGAAGATATAGAAATAACACACGAGAAAAAAAAATTGCAAGAGAAAATTTTAGCATAATTAAACATTTAAAGTGATAAATTGCATGAATTTTATTAAAAATAAAAAGTAAATAAAGAGGAGGTATAAAAATTTAAGAGCATACTTGAAACTTCAAAGACACAAATTTTAAAATCTTTTTTTATTAGAGGTAAAAGTGTAATTTTCAAAAAGTTGAGGGGGGGCACGTGCCTCCCCCAGGTACTCACGTGGCACGGCCCTTGATGGCAAACAAGATCCATAGCTAAAAAGGAAAATTAAACCTGAACAAATGACTTAGGCAAATCAACATGATTTACGCAGTCAGAATAACCACATAAACCAAATTTGATCTGATCCTAAATCCTGGCATACTAGAAGACTCAAACAAAAAAGAATCTTAGGACACTGATGCTTCCTATAAAGACTGCACGACAAACACTTGACACAAAGAGCTTGCCTTGGAGAGGACTGATGATAGAGTTCAATTGCACGCTCCACTTCATCCCGCACCTATCAGACAAATAAATAAGGAATAATGAACATAATAGTAATAATGTCAGTCATTCCAATCATGAATGGAAAAACAGATTCAGACCCCCCATAATTAACCAGGATGCACCGTGCATCAAAGTTGTCACAATTTTCAAACTACTCTCATATTCCTGTAAAGCTTAATAAATTCACACGTGTATGATGAAGAAATTTTTGTAACCAGACAACATACTTCATAAAAACAAATAACATAACATAACATAACGAATTCAGTTCCAAGAAACAGAGCTTAGAAGAAGTTTGCTTCACGTGCCAAACTTCAACTAGAATCAAGACCTTATTCATTAAACTTAAAGGGTAAAAAATAAAAGATTTAGACTTTAAGAACATAGAAATTCATCCTACCACACTCCGCACAAAAGGTTCCAACTTTGTCAAAAATTCATGCGTCGAAAGTGCTTTCATCACATCTCTAACAGCACTGCACAAAAATCAGAGTTTCAAATCAAAAACCCATCATAACGGCTAACAAAACACAAAAATGGACACTGAATTCCTTCTCACCTCGCAAAAGTAAGTGGTCGTTTGGACTCCCTCGGAACTTCTGACCCAACATCCTCCTCCTGATCACTAAAATGCCGTTTCAATACCATCAAAAACCCAAAAAAACTGAATGACTAACAAGTTATAAAAAACCAAAAATTCCCCAAATCTAAAACCAAGTAACCCAAACTTTCACAACTTACTTATAGAAACTGAACTGACCCATCAAAAACCCAACAAATAAATGACTAACAAGTTGAAAAACAACCAAAAACTCCCAAAATCTTAAACCAACCAACCCAAAATTCACAACTTATATATAGAAACTGAACTGACCCATCAAAAACCCAACAAATAAATGACTAACAAGTTGAAAAACAACCAAAAACTCCCAAAATCTTAAACCAACCAACCCAAAATTCACAACTTATATATAGAAACTGAACTGACCCATCAAAAACCCAACAAATAAATGACTAACAAGTTGAAAAACAACCAAAAACTCCCAAAATCTTAAACCAACCAACCCAAAATTCACAACTTATATATAGAAACTGAACTGACCCATCAAAAACCCAACAAATAAATGACTAACAAGTTGAAAAACAACCAAAAACTCCCAAAATCTTAAACCAACCAACCCAAAATTCACAACTTATATATAGAAACTGAACTGACCCATCAAAAACCCAACAAATAAATGACTAACAAGTTGAAAAACAACCAAAAACTCCCAAAATCTTAAACCAACCAACCCAAAATTCACAACTTATATATAGAAACTGAACTGACCCATCAAAAACCCAACAAATAAATGACTAACAAGTTGAAAAACAACCAAAAACTCCCAAAATCTTAAACCAACCAACCCAAAATTCACAACTTATATATAGAAACTGAACTGACCCATCAAAAACCCAACAAATAAATGACTAACAAGTTGAAAAACAACCAAAAACTCCCAAAATCTTAAACCAACCAACCCAAAATTCACAACTTATATATAGAAACTGAACTGACCCATCAAAAACCCAACAAATAAATGACTAACAAGTTGAAAAACAACCAAAAACTCCCAAAATCTTAAACCAACCAACCCAAAATTCACAACTTATATATAGAAACTGAACTGACCCATCAAAAACCCAACAAATAAATGACTAACAAGTTGAAAAACAACCAAAAACTCCCAAAATCTTAAACCAACCAACCCAAAATTCACAACTTATATATAGAAACTGAACTGACCCATCAAAAACCCAACAAATAAATGACTAACAAGTTGAAAAACAACCAAAAACTCCCAAAATCTTAAACCAACCAACCCAAAATTCACAACTTATATATAGAAACTGAACTGACCCATCAAAAACCCAACAAATAAATGACTAACAAGTTGAAAAACAACCAAAAACTCCCAAAATCTTAAACCAACCAACCCAAAATTCACAACTTATATATAGAAACTGAACTGACCCATCAAAAACCCAACAAATAAATGACTAACAAGTTGAAAAACAACCAAAAACTCCCAAAATCTTAAACCAACCAACCCAAAATTCACAACTTATATATAGAAACTGAACTGACCCATCAAAAACCCAACAAATAAATGACTAACAAGTTGAAAAACAACCAAAAACTCCCAAAATCTTAAACCAACCAACCCAAAATTCACAACTTATATATAGAAACTGAACTGACCCATCAAAAACCCAACAAATAAATGACTAACAAGTTGAAAAACAACCAAAAACTCCCAAAATCTTAAACCAACCAACCCAAAATTCACAACTTATATATAGAAACTGAACTGACCCATCAAAAACCCAACAAATAAATGACTAACAAGTTGAAAAACAACCAAAAACTCCCAAAATCTTAAACCAACCAACCCAAAATTCACAACTTATATATAGAAACTGAACTGACCCATCAAAAACCCAACAAATAAATGACTAACAAGTTGAAAAACAACCAAAAACTCCCAAAATCTTAAACCAACCAACCCAAAATTCACAACTTATATATAGAAACTGAACTGACCCATCAAAAACCCAACAAATAAATGACTAACAAGTTGAAAAACAACCAAAAACTCCCAAAATCTTAAACCAACCAACCCAAAATTCACAACTTATATATAGAAACTGAACTGACCCATCAAAAACCCAACAAATAAATGACTAACAAGTTGAAAAACAACCAAAAACTCCCAAAATCTTAAACCAACCAACCCAAAATTCACAACTTATATATAGAAACTGAACTGACCCATCAAAAACCCAACAAATAAATGACTAACAAGTTGAAAAACAACCAAAAACTCCCAAAATCTTAAACCAACCAACCCAAAATTCACAACTTATATATAGAAACTGAACTGACCCATCAAAAACCCAACAAATAAATGACTAACAAGTTGAAAAACAACCAAAAACTCCCAAAATCTTAAACCAACCAACCCAAAATTCACAACTTATATATAGAAACTGAACTGACCCATCAAAAACCCAACAAATAAATGACTAACAAGTTGAAAAACAACCAAAAACTCCCAAAATCTTAAACCAACCAACCCAAAATTCACAACTTATATATAGAAACTGAACTGACCCATCAAAAACCCAACAAATAAATGACTAACAAGTTGAAAAACAACCAAAAACTCCCAAAATCTTAAACCAACCAACCCAAAATTCACAACTTATATATAGAAACTGAACTGACCCATCAAAAACCCAACAAATAAATGACTAACAAGTTGAAAAACAACCAAAAACTCCCAAAATCTTAAACCAACCAACCCAAAATTCACAACTTATATATAGAAACTGAACTGACCCATCAAAAACCCAACAAATAAATGACTAACAAGTTGAAAAACAACCAAAAACTCCCAAAATCTTAAACCAACCAACCCAAAATTCACAACTTATATATAGAAACTGAACTGACCCATCAAAAACCCAACAAATAAATGACTAACAAGTTGAAAAACAACCAAAAACTCCCAAAATCTTAAACCAACCAACCCAAAATTCACAACTTATATATAGAAACTGAACTGACCCATCAAAAACCCAACAAATAAATGACTAACAAGTTGAAAAACAACCAAAAACTCCCAAAATCTTAAACCAACCAACCCAAAATTCACAACTTATATATAGAAACTGAACTGACCCATCAAAAACCCAACAAATAAATGACTAACAAGTTGAAAAACAACCAAAAACTCCCAAAATCTTAAACCAACCAACCCAAAATTCACAACTTATATATAGAAACTGAACTGACCCATCAAAAACCCAACAAATAAATGACTAACAAGTTGAAAAACAACCAAAAACTCCCAAAATCTTAAACCAACCAACCCAAAATTCACAACTTATATATAGAAACTGAACTGACCCATCAAAAACCCAACAAATAAATGACTAACAAGTTGAAAAACAACCAAAAACTCCCAAAATCTTAAACCAACCAACCCAAAATTCACAACTTATATATAGAAACTGAACTGACCCATCAAAAACCCAACAAATAAAAAAAAAAAAAAACAGAAAAAGGCAAAACAAAGGACAGAAAAAGACAATTTAATGCTAGTTTAGAGCTATTCTTTTAGAGCTCTAAAGCAATTTCTAATTTTAAATAGGTGTAAATTTTTTACAAAGTCACAGATAAGTAGTAAATTTTATATACATTAATAATTAAAATTATAAATTTTTTCATGATTCAGTAATATTTATTTGATAAGACAACTTAGGGGTAATTTTTCCATTAAAAAATATGGCTCCTTTTGGTTTACTTTTTTGAAATGATATTTGAGTTTTGAGTTTTTTGAAAAATAAGCTTTGAAATGAATTTTCAAATGAGAAAATTTGTTTAAATATGAGTTTTGAAAAGAATTTTAAGTTTTGAGTTGTCTTTTAAAATTATTTTGGGTTTTTGTTTTTGAATATTTAAAAGTTTTCTTAATTTTATTTTTTTAGTATAAATATTTTTTATTGTAAATATTTTTTTAATGTGCATTGTATTTATTACATTTGTTTTTCATTTTTCACAATTTTTGTACTAGTTACGTATAACTTTAATTGGCTAATACATATTTAAAAGGAAAAATTAGTCTAGGGTCCCTCTCCTACTTTTCGTAATGGAAGAGATCCACAAAATTATTTTTTGATGTCTAAGGTCCCTAAACATATATCAGAGAAATTTGACTCTTTATCCCTAAACTATCGAAGGTCGTTTGTGTCCCCAAACCAACATAAACCTTAGTGAGAAAAAAATAAGAATTACGGTCGACAACATTCGGATTAGAAAATCTGTGTACCTCTCTCTCATGGTGATGAAGCTTCTCAAGCTGTGTACATGGAATTCACTGGGTAATCAATGTAGCATTTCTAGGGTTTTCAGGGTTTTGTTCTACTCTACTCAGACTGAGACCGAGACCGAGACCGTGACTTCCTCATCGTCTTCAAAGGACACTCTGTATGGCAGGCTTTTACAATTCGGAAACCCTAGGGTTTCAATTGTACCAGTACTCTTGCTCAAACACGTCCAGACCCACGAACCCCCGTCTGTTTCTTCTTCTTCTTCTTCAAATTGTTGTTGATGTTGTTGTTGATCATCAGTATCAGTATCTAGTTCTTCCGATTCGTCTTCTTCTCAATACTCCAAATACTGATGGTATAGAGATTGAAGCAACCTACATGGGTCTATACTTGAAAACCAAAAAAATGAAGCAACCTACCTGGAGTTGAACATTATTGTGGAGTTTCCAAAATCCAAATACCGATGGTGTCCAAAAAAATGATTTTGGAGTTGAACATTATTGTGGAGTTTCCAAAATCAGAACATTTCAACATAATCTCTTTGTTGGAGTTGCATCCGATTTATGATTATGGGGTTGGAATAGGTAGCTTTAAGAGTCTCACTCTTAGGCACAACTCCAACATGTTCTGTGGTTGGAATAGCCAGTGAAATGTCCAGTGGGATTTCAAACGTTATTGTGGAGGATTTACACACTAGAGATTCAACAGGTTAGATGAGCCAAAGACCATTTTTGTGAAATTGATTCAATTTTCTGTGTTATGCTCCAACTTTGCTTTGAAATTTTCGCAAATTTCGTCCAGGTGGGGGACAATTAGTTGAATATAAAAAATTCCAAATTGTAAACTGAATTTTTTTTTCATTTGAACTGAATTTTCTCTGTGTTGAAACCAGAGAAATTCTCTGGTTTTTTAATTGAATTTTCTCTGGGTTTGTCCAGAGAATTCTTTGGTTTCTAGTTGGAACCTGAAATGCTTAATTTGTATAAAACCCAATGTTTGTGAAATCAAATTTTGAAACCCTCTTGTTGAAAAGGAGAGCAATATTGATGTTGTTCAGTTTGATCTCTCATTGTCTCTAGAGAAATTCTCATATAGAGAAATGCGAGAATTTCTCTAGAGAATTTCTCTAGATGAGAATTTCTCTGAAAAAGGCCAGAGAAATTCCCATTAGTTGCTTGACACCAAGAGTGAAGGCAAGCAAAGCAGCAATCCAGAGAAATTTCTCTCACAAAATTTCTTTTAGTACCAAAGAAATTTCTCTCTGTTTTCATTTTGACCAATTTTCTCTGGACCAATTTTCTCGGGATCAACTTGAGGGACCTTAGACATTATGAAAATATTAGATGTCTTTTATGCTATAAAATCTTAATACGAGGGACCTTAAAAAAAACCCCTATTTAAAACATAACAAATTATTTTGCCGATACTTAAAATTCTACATTAGTGTATCAAATTCAAATCCTGGTGGTTATGACCATTTGGACATCGATAAAAGTACTGACCGTAATTTGCTTTCGTTCGTGCTATTCACTTTCACATAGCCCAGTCCCACAAGAACAAAATATTTTAAATATTTTTTTAATATTTAAAAAATTTAATAACAAAATATTTTTTCTATATCTAAATCATAACAAATTGTTTGGCCAATACTTGAAAGAATTACAAAATATTGCGTTTTCAAAAATAAAAAATATATATTTATTCAAAAAAACAAAAAACAAAAAACAATTTTAAAGATCAAAAATAAAAATAAAAAATTGAATTTTAAAAAGAGTTTTGAAATTTTGTTTGGTTATGAATTTTTTTTTTAAAGTTTTGAAAATTTTCTATAATTATGAATTTTAAATTTTTTTTATCCAAATTATAATTCCAAAAGCAAAACAAACGCTAAAGTTTTTGAAACTCAAGAATCAAGGGATCTTGTTTTATTCTTTATTTAGTTGTCGTGTGAGAAACTATGTTGAGAAAAACTATAAAAAAATATTAGTGAATTTTCAATTCCAAAGATTAGTATGGCATATGGCAGACGTTTGAAAGTCAAACTTTAAATTTTACCATCAAAATACACATGTCATCAAATTATTAATAATTTATTATTATTTTTATTTAAAATACACACTAAGAAATTCACTTTGTTTGAATTCAATTTTTTAAAAATTAAATTTTTATTTTTCATATTTTTTTAGTTTAGTGGATTTTTTTAATATTTTTTTTTTTACTTTTGTAGATATATCTAATCAAGATGTATCTACAAAGTAAAATATTTTAAAAAATCAATAAATACACAATAATAAGAAAATGTACTGAATTATATATTTTTTATATTTTTGGTATTTAGTGAATTTTTTAAAATTTTTTTTAATAAATGTTATACTTTTTAATTGTATTTATACTAAGTATATCTAAAAAATAAAATATTTGCTTAAAATATTAAAAAAAAATCACTACAAAAAAAACGAAAAACAAAACTCTTAATTTTCAAAAAATTAAATTCAATAAATTGAAACCAAACAAAGTGTACTATTTTGCCACTTTTGTTCATACAATTTTACTTAAAATCATGGTCATAATTTTCAAACTAGTAGAAAATTGTGCTATGCGCTGGAATTAACATAAAATTAAATATTTATATACAAAATTCATGACTTCCAACTTATTTAATTTATTATTATTATTTTTTATCAGGAAATGTTATTAATGACTTTACTATGGAAAAATTAGTCTAAAATCCCTATCCAATTTTTAGTAATGGAAGAGATTCATAATATTATTTTGTGTTGTCTAAGTGTCACGACACAAACCCGCCCTTATAGATTTAGTGTCGTAACCGGCCAGTAATTCGAGATTACTTATTTAATTTATTATTATTATTTTTTATCAGGAAATGTTATTAATGACTTTACTATGGAAAAATTAGTCTAAAATCCCTATCCAATTTTTAGTAATGGAAGAGATTCACAATATTATTTTGTGTTGTCTAAGTGTCACGACACAAACCCGCACTTATAGATTTAGTGTCGTAACCGGCCAGTAATTCGAGATTTCCAAAGGCCTTCCTGTGAAATCAACAACAATCGGGGCTAGCAGAAGTATTATACAAAAATATCAATGGTCCAACGAGCTGTGCATCTATATGAACAAACATGAACTAACACATACATATATAAACGTTAATTTACTCACATATCAATACATATCGTTTACACGTATCAAAAGTGTACATCAAGGTCAAAAGCTTGACAACGGCCTTCCAGGTCTAACCCCAACTCGGAGGCACTCAAAACAACTTGGTAGGCTTCAAAACGGTGGCTTTGCTAAAAACCCCTTCTATACTTGTCCTCCAAAACGCTCACCTATACATTTATATAAAAACAGTGAGCAAAAACCCAATGAATAACAACAAGGTAAATGGTTAATGAATGAAGTCCCAAATCAATAATTCAAATAGTTCAGGTCATCAGTGATTCTTGAATCAGAACTTTATAACATATCTTATCAGGTCATGTAAACAGTCATACCACTACTTGTAGACAGTCATGTCAGTACTTATAAATAGTTATGTCAGTACCTCCCTTAGCATAACAGTACGGTGGTTCTAGTACATCCATGTCAAAGATTTCTGTGCACATATAGCCATGGTACTGTTACCCCCAAGCGAGGACTACGTGAACATAAACTACGGTATTGTTACCCCCGAGCAAGGGCCACATGAACATACGCTGCGGTATTGTTATCCTCGAGTAAGGGCCATGTGAACATATAAACATAAACCACGGTATTGTTATCCCCGAGTAAGGGCCACGTGAACATATAAACATAAACTACGGTATTGTTACCCTCGGGTAAGGGCCACGAGAACATATAAACATAAATCACGATATTGTTACCTCCGGGTAAGGGCTACGTGAACATAAGGAAGCCATATTATATTTCAGAAGAATAGACAATCATTCATTTATTTCAGGAAAGAACGTTCAATAGAGCATATCATGTCAATTAGAAAATACATATAAGTTGTTACTCACAGTGGCTTCCAGAAACGGTTGTGCCATCCTCGACTCGTGACCTACAATCACAATACGCATAACATAACACATATCTTATCATTATACACATTCAAGTGGCCAACATGGCTTGGCATTTCTTACATTAACTCTTATTCATTCAGTCGGTTCTATTCA